CAAAAATTGTTGGATATGAAGGGGCTGATTGAACTATGACCTTGACCTTCATTTTCAAGGTCATTTGAAGGTCAAGGTCATTTTTTTTAATGGGAAGCCCCATTTTAAAAAATGACCTTGATCTTCAAATGACCTTGAAAATGAAGGACAAGGTCATTGTCAAGGTCATAGTTCAATCAGCCCCTTCATTTCCTACAATTTTTGTTTCAAACATTTTTTTATTTAATCGCGATGTTTCGAGTTATTTGGCTGTCTAAGTTAAAATGGGTCACCCTGTATATGCACGTACGCATATGATGTGCAAAATCCAAGCAGCAACCTCTTGGTGCGCATCGGTTAATGCTAATGTTGGAGGAAGTTAAACAAAAATAGGTAATTTTGATACGCCGTATTTCCTCAACAAAAAATCATATAAAGTTTTATTTTTTTTTTAATTTGTAAGGAAAAATTCATATTTTATGATGATTATTACAACATTTGCGAAAAAAATTCATTGCATCCCATAGAGTGCAAATTATAAAATTTTGTGGAGACGTAACACATCCTTATTTTAGAAAAAATAATGTGCAGAAGTAAGAATAAATTTTAAATTTACCGAAAGCTTCTTAAAGTACAAACTTTACCGTTAAAAGTAAAAAAACTTTTAAATACGATCATTTTTTACGAAGTTATGCTTACTTGAAGTTATGCAAAATTTTGGTATTTTATATTTCGATAATCTTGTTGACAAGTGTACAGTCGCGGACACTGAGGTTGCAACACTTTTTTTTTCGATGGTTTGCAGAACACGCAACAATTTTCAGAGCGCGATCTACTATCTATTGATAGGTGTAACGATCGGTTATAATAATATAGAATCGAAGTATACAATGTGACAGAAATGTATCTTGCGTGACGCGACAAACTCTTAAGATATTAATTGGATACTGTAGGATTAGAGTAAATATAAAAGTTAAATAAACAATACATTTATACATTTATTACATAAATGTAATAAATGTATAAATATATGTATAATAGATATACGTGAATATAATAGATATCGAATTTAACGTTTATTTATTATGGATTATCTGTGGCATATATATCAAAATGATATGTTAACTCTCGCATTTTCTCCTACATCCTGTCTCAACGATCACCCTATTAGGTAATCTCGAAACGAGGAAATCGTGGAGTCCTCCCGGACGTAACAATAATAATAAATTAAATAATAATACAAATTATTATGTAATAGTAATATAATTACATAATGCATATTATATATTAATATGTAATTATATGATAATTTTAATATATGTAACCTCCTATTAATTTTCAACGCATTGGAAATGTAAATTTTTAAACAAAATTGTTTATTTGACTTTTATATTTACCCTAATCCTACGGTATCCAATTAATATCTTAA